CGCCGAGGCAGCCGGCGTGCGCCGGCCTCGCGTTCTTGGTGTGCCCCGCCTGTGGGGTCTGTAAGGGTCCTTTGTACCCCCACAATGGGGGCCTTATTTTCTTATTTTTTTTTCTTGTTTGCATACAGGTTAACATGATCCCTGTTTCCGTCTGTGTGTGTTTTTGCCTGTTTTCTGAGAAAGCTGTGCCTTATTTTTATTTTCCCCCCTTACAAATTCCTCTGCCTAGAACCATGGATGATGAAGGGAAAAACTATGTCTCTGCTGAAGTATCAGATATCTTGGATTCTTTTCTGGATTTTGGGGGTAAACCCTCACCTATGGAGTCAACTGTGTTGCCTGTCACAGAGGAGCAGGAGGTGTGGAAGGGTTGGGGAATATGTCTTCTAATTATGGCTTTTTCCTCCCCCCTCCTCAATTTTTACATGTGGCAAATAAATTTTCAGTAAGAACATATCTTTTCCCTTTGCGTTGAAGATATGGTTCTTCTGTTTATTTCTTGTTATTTACAAATGGGTCATATCCAATAGCAATTTGATACTCTTGGCCTTGGCTTTTGGGAAAGAAGAATTTCAGTACTTAAGACTCTTTGGACCCCGTTTTTTTTCTGGCTAGCAAGCTAAAAAGCTTATAGGTCCTTGGTCCTTGCATGCTTGGGAATAAAAGTGTCTGGTACTATGTACATGTTTCTGAAGATTAAAAAATAACCATTCTTTAAAGGCTTCCTTTTTTTTAGAATAGTAGGATTTTCTGTGTTCTCAGGTGACTCATTTTGTATGTTCAGGCACAGAAAGCTCTGGAAAAGTCAGGTAAATTTGTCTGATAAGTGAACAAGTTGCCTAGGTGGAGATATCTGAGTTCTGAGAAAAGAAGGGTTGTGGGCATGGCTGTAAAAATCTCCCACTACTGTCGCTGCACCTAGATGGGGAGGGAGATCCATGTGCAACAGGAACAGGACAAGCGTCCAAGTTAGTAACCAGGAGCCATTTTGTGATTGCTGCTGTGAGAGATATGAGGAGATCAGTGACAGGATGGTAAAAAAGAAGTAACCTGAGGGCAGAAAGGTGTTGATCTATTAACTGAACATGCTCCTCACAAAATGGAAGTACAGAACTGCTAAGCAGCTCTTAGAAAATGCAGCTTAAGTTCAGTACACAGGGTGACCAGGAGGTGGAAGCAGTGCAGTTTAATCCTCCAACAACATGGTTTTTAAAAGTCATGGTGTTGGCTGGATTTACAGAAGAACCTTAATGGGGATGCTTGAAGGAAAAACACGTAACTTGAGGATGCTGGGTGGTCAAGAAACAGATGACAGCTTGAAGTTTATGTGGAAGGAGAAATGGAAGCAATAAGATAAATACTGTATCACAGGAGTATATATATGCCAATAAATGATTTTGAGGATGTTCATTTCTAAAAGTGATGATAATA